AATGATCGTGAGCATTTCTTCATATGTCAGCTGCCTGAATATCTTCTTTGGTGAAGTGCCTGTTCATATCCTTTGCCCATTTTTAAATTGGGTTGTCTTTTTGTTGTTGAGGTTTTGCAGTATCTCGTAGATTTTAGAGATTAGACGCTGATTGGATTTGTCATAGCCAAAATTTTTTTCCAGTCTATGGGTTGTCTTTTGATGAGCATAAGTGTTTGATTTTTAGGAGCTCCCAGTTATCTAGTCTCTCTTCTGGTGCTTGTGCATTGTTACCAAACAGTTCTTGTGTTTATACCGTGTATTAGGGCTCCTAGCGTTGTACCTATTTTTTCTTCCATGATCTTTATCGTTTTTGATTTTATGTTTAAGTCTTCGTTCCATTTTGAGTTAGTTTTTGTGCATGGTGTGAGGTATGGATCTTGTTCCAGTTTTTTGCAGATGGATATCCAGTTAGGCCAGCACCTTTTGTTAAAGAGACTGTCTTTTCCCCATTTAACAAACTTTGGGCCTTTGTCAAATATCAGCTGCTCATAGGTGGATGGATTTATATCTGGATTCTCAGTTCTGTTCCATTGGTCTATGTATCTGTTGTTGTACCAGTACCAGGCTGTTTTGACTACCATGGCCGTATAATAGGTTCTAAAATCAGGTAGTGTGAGGCCTCCCACTTTGTTCAGAACGTTTTCTTAATAAACTTTGTTATGCTAATTGACATAGTTGTCCTCTGAAAGCATGGTCTCCAGACCCCCTGCCCCTGCTACTTTGTCCCTCAAAGAGTTTGGTTGTGTTTAAGAAACTTACTAGTTTTTGGTTTAGTCCAGTTGTGCTGACCACCCCTGTTTTGTGTGTTGTCCTTCCCTACACCTAAGGTAATTCTTGTCTACTGTCTAGTTAGTGAATTCCCCTCTCCCTCCCTCCCCACTCTCATAACCATCAAAGAATGTTTTCTTCTGTGTTTAAACCTTTTCTGGAGTTCTTATAATAGTGGTCTCATATAATATTTGTCCTTTAGAATGCAATACATTTTTTAAATCACATATTTTAGAGGAAAAATAATTTGATGCAATTTAATCATATATGAAAATAAGTAATAAATTAGGTTCAAATATTATTCTGAAACTTAAAATACCAGATGTCACCCCTGACAACTTGCGTGGGACTAAGCTCCTCTGTATCTTCACTTACAACGAGTGGGCTGGTGCAGATCATTTCTGAGTCTTCATTTCATACTCTGGCTAGCTTTATGAAAAGGAGCATATCGTGTGTCATCTCCTCTGACAAAAGAGAAAAAATCCTCTAAAAATGTTCAGTCCTATTTAAAAAGGCTTAACTCGTGGCATTTCTTATCTTACAGAGTAGCTCATGCTATTGATATGTTTGTATAATTTATTGGGAGAGTAGACCTATTTTTCTGCATGCCAGAATGTGAGCTATGATTGAATAACTCATTAATATACTGCACTGTGTGATTGCTTATTTCTTCACTATTGTTGTCTTTAGATGGAATGTGCCCATGTTGAATTAGGATTAAAAAATTCAGCAGCCGCTGTTTCCCTGACTGTTCTGTGCCTGTCACGAGAACAGTTTAAGATTGTCCTCCCATGTGCTACATGGTATAAAAGATTATTTTTTCCATAGGTCTGATGGTACCAACTTTGTATGAATTCTGCTGGGAAAAAAGAGTTATCTGACTAGTCCAAGATAAGAATACAATGTAATGTGCATGACTAAAATTTTTTTTTTTTTTTGTTTAAATGTGTTTATCATTAGAAAAAGTCATTACTGTGCTAGCTGCCTGTCTGGAAAGTGAGAATCAAAATGCTCAGAGGATTGGAGCTGCTGCACTTTGGGCTCTGAGTCACAATTATCAGAAGGTCAGTTTTTAAACCATGGTTATACCTGGGGGCAAACAGCCAAGGCTCTTGTGATGCGTCCAAGGATGTGGGAGGAGTATTTGGAAAAGAAAAGAAGTGAAGCCAGAGACCCGCATGGCCGCTGTGCTTTCATACAATTAGTGGATCATCAATCAGAATCTTTTTCATTTAATCATTTCAATATATCTTAGTTCAGAACAGTACTTCTCTTTTAAGTGAGTTGTCCTGTTAGTTTAAATTGATTTGCCATATTGTTGTAATGTTAGTATAGATTGTTTCTTCTAAAAAAAAGCGTCAAGGAAAAATGCATCTTGAAATAAAGCCTTGTAACAAAGTTTTCTCTGATTCCCCTTTCTCTACTAAACATCATCCCTGAGTTTGATAATCAGCTCAGTTCTTGTAAGACTGCCTTGCAGGGACGGCCCTGAGAAACAGCCAGCAGAGGGGGCCTGTGCCTGCTCTTTCTCTCGCCTTGGGTCTTTGGTTTGATCGCAGACGCCTAACCCTGTGCAGCTGAGAGACAAGCAGGCCCGTGCGTGTCCACATGATGAACTAGTAGCCAAACGAATTAGTGAGGACAGACAATGATCGTAGAACAGTGCTACGCTAACCTGACTGTCCCTGGTCTGTGCTGCATGTGCCCGCACAGGCTGCAGTCCTAGCCCAGCAGGACAGAGGCTGCTACTGTCATTTGCCCCATTGTGTCCCTGGGCCTTAGCACAGCGTGTGTTACTTTGTAGTCTCAGTAAATATTTTTTGACGGATTGACTGATAATGTTTGATATGTTGTGGTGGTGGTGTACTAGCAAGTCAATTCTGACTCATAGTGAGTGACCCCATGTGGCAGAGTAGAACTTCCCATAGGGTTTTCTAAGCTCTAATCTTCATGGGAGCAGATCGCTGGGTCTTTTCCTCCCACAAAGTGGAGGGGCTGGTAGGGTCAAACTATTGACCTTTTGGTTAGCAGCTGAGAGCTTAAGCATTGCCCCTCCAGGGCTTCTTAGCGTTTAATACACTTGATCTGAAATCTAAGGCTTGAAGGAATATGAAGCACTGAAAATAACTGAGTTTGAGTGGTTTAAAATAGAAAATTGAGATTGGGGAGAAGGAGTAAAAGGGGAGGGAACAAAGTGGAACAGTAGTGAGAGAAATCAAGTCAGATGGGGAAGGAGATGTGCTAGACTTCAGGTAAGCAGAGAGATCAACACAGTAGTGTGTACCAATAGATTATTCTCTATCTGTGTTAGCAATGGGCAGAATTAGTATTGTGCTATCCTGATCTTTAACACATGGGGATACATCTAGTTAATAGATTATTCTATATTACCTCTAGGCAAAAACAACTTTGAAAAATCCGTCAATAAAAAGAAGAGTGGATGAAGCATATTCCTTAGCAAAGAAAAGTAAGTTTCGTTGTTAAAAAGATTATGATTAAACTTGGAAGCTAAGTGAATTCTCTGATTAATGAAATATTTGGACAGGCCGCAGTGAAATGACAGTTTCCTACACTGATGTGTTTCTAGGATTCCAGGAGTTTTTTTGTTGCAGCACTGTAAAATGTGCAGATACTTGGTCTGTGCTTCTCATTATAACAGTTTTTTAAATAACGTGTCTGTGATCTTTCTCTGAGTTGTTTTTTTCTTGGCTAACCTTTCTTTGCCAGTGGTGACCACTGTGCTAAAGTGTGTTCTTAGGTGATAAGAACTCAGCCCAATTAGAATTGACCTGGAACAGAAAACTTTGATGTAATAGCTGGAAGTTGAATCAGTCTTCTAAGAATAGATTCCATTACCCTTGTATCCACTCGGCTGTGTGATCAGATCATGATACAAGATAGGGTTTTTCTTTTTAAAGAAAGGCGACACCAGTTTTCAGTGGGCATTATTCTCTGAACTTTTTAAATGCTAAGTCAGAAATCTGAACTGTGTGTCTTTGCTGAACTACAATAGGTCATTTGGTCTTTTTTTTTTTTTTTTTAAATAATCTGACTTTCTTAAAAGTGGATTTTGTTTCTAAAACTGTGAGCATGAATTTTTAGAAATAGTGGATGATTGAGTTACATTAGAGTTTATGATTTAAGAGGGACAATACATAAAACGAGCCCTGGTGGCACAGTGGTTAAGAGCTCAGCTGCTAACCAAAAGGTGTGCAGTTCGAATCTATCAGCTACTCCTCAGAAACCCTGTGAGGCAGTTCTACTCTGTCCTATAGGGTCGTTGTGAGTTGGAATTGACTTGACAGCAACGGGTTTGGTTTTTGGTACTTAAAAAGAGTTGTTGTTGTTAGCTGCCAAGTCGATTCCCAACTCATGGCAACGCCGAGCACAACAGAACAAAACACTGCGCAGTCCTGTGCCATCCTCCGATCAGTGCCAGTCGGATTGTTGTGATCCAGAGGGTTTTCAGTGGCTGATTTTTGGAAGCAAGTCACAAGGCCTTTCTTCCTAGCCCATCTTAGTCTGGAAACTGCTTAAACCTGTTCAACATGATAGGAACACACAAGCCTCCACTGACAGATGAGTGGTGGCTGCGTATAAGGTGCACTGCCCAGGAGTTAAATCTGAGTCTCCCACATAGAAAGCAAGTTTTCATTGAGGATTATAGTTAATGGTGTCCATCATGGATGTATATTGTTTTTGTTTATGCCACTTGAGAAAACTAGTAATAAAAAAATAAATTCTGTAACTGCATTTATTTAAATGTAAAATACTATATGCTTAGTACATGAAGAACTTAAATGGAACTTTAAAATACATATATATATATATATATCCTATTCATGTATGTTTGTATGTGTATTTACTCTTAAGTAGTACTAAGTTTAATAAACTGGTATTTCCATACCCTTATTTTTCTGTCTCAGCTTTCTCAGACTCAGAAGAAAGCTCTCTCAATGCCTATTATTTGCGATGTCTTGAAAACCTCGTGCAGCTGCTCAGCTCCTCCTGAGCACCAGGAGAGGCTCGCCCTGACAGTGACAGTTACCTGGCAGGGAGCAGCACTGGAGCAGGTGTGTGTAGCAGCAGCTACCTGAAGACACACTAAGTCTCTGTAAGGTGTCGATGCCCTTACTTCCCCATGAGAAGTAGAATGGGAACATCTCAAACTCCGTCCATTCAGCAGCTCTCCATAAAGAAGAGCAGATGATAAGATGATGGAAAAAGAGGCACAGAACATTCCGGGACATAAATATTTTTACCTTTTTCTATGCAATGTGCTTTGTAAAAATCCTATTTAACAGTTATTTAATAAAACATTTTTGGAACTGAAAATTGACTAATTGCTATTTGTAGACTTTTATCGGTCTTATGAATACAAAATTTAAGAATGGAAAAAAAGCATAGTGTTCTAGTTTCCTTTTTTATGTTTATTTATTTTAATTTTTACATGAAATTTAGCTCTTATCTGTCAGTACAAATCTTTTTTTTCAAACCTTTGTATCTTCCAGAGCATACTCATGGGTGAAGGAATATATGTATGTAAGCATTTACACTTTTGTGAGTAGCTTCTTTATGCAATCTTTAATTATATTAATGTCTTTCCATACGATTTATAAATTAGGTATATTTTATAACTTTCTCCTTTTTGCTTCTGGAATGCCATACAGTAAAGAATAATATGATTTCTGGTCATGTAGGCCCAGATTCAAATTCTTGCTTGGCCCAAAACATGGAGAACAAGTAGAAAAATATTGTAGGAGCAAATCAGTATCATTGTTCAAACTCTGTAGAGTACTCCATTACATAACTCTTAACTAACATGTAGTTCTGAATTTGGTACTTAAATGAAAATCAATTGAAGTACTATTACTTTGATCCGTTTTCCCAAAACTTCTGATAAGAAGAGAAAAATAAAAGCTGAAATATATACAATCATATGTATGTGTGTATATACACACTAATTATTTAGGAAAGAATTTTCTAATTATGATTAACAAGGGAAAACATCACACACACACACACACACACACTTTTTTTTATTAAGTGCCATTAACATGCCTGACCCAAGCTGTGGTCTTTTCAATTGCCTCATATGCTTTCAAAAGCTCGACAATAAAAAAAGAAGACAAAAGAATTGATGCACTTGAAGTATGGTGTTGGCTAAGCATATTAAATATACTGTGGACTGCTATAAGAACAAACAAATCAGTTGTAGAAGAAATACAACCAAAATGCTCCTTAGAAGAAAGGATTGTGAGACTTTGGCTCATTTACTTTGGACACATCATCAGGAAAGACCAATCGCTAGAAAAGGACATCATATTTAGTAAAGTACAGGGTTAGCAAAAACAAGAGAAACCCTCAATGAGATAGATTGACGCAATAACCACAACAGTGGACTCAAGCATACCAACAATCATCATGATAACACAGGACCAGGCAATGTTTTTTTCTGTTGTACATGAGGTCACCATTAGTTGGAGCCAACGAGACAGCAACTAACAACAACATGTTACTTAAGCTAGAGGTATGAAGGCAAGATATGTGTTAAATACTGAAATAGAAGCAGGTATGTTTGCAATGTCTAAAAGTCATTGATGGCAAATCTGAAAAATTTAGGAAACCCACAAGTTTCTGAGCAGCCTAACTTCATTTGATGCAATGGACATGCTAGTATTCTGGAAAATTCACCAATACCAATAGCAAGAATCTTAGGAATTGTTTCTTTTTTCCTGGTTTCTTATATTTTATGCCGTTTTCTTTGTATTGCTTTGTAAACCCTCACTGATGAATAAATGAAATGAATTACTTTATATAACATTCACTTAAAAGATCTATGTCCCAGGCACTAGTCTCAGATCTTTTATTACTTAATTTATCTTTCCTAAGATACTACTAGGAGCTCTGGTGGTTCAGTGGTTAAGTGCTTGTGGGTTTGAACCCACCAACTGCTCCGTAGAAGAAAGATGTGGCAGTCTGCTTCTGTAAAGATTACAGCCTTGGAAACCTACGGGGCAGTTTTACTGTGTCCTATAGGATCAATCCCTGTAAGCTGGAATTGACTCAATGGCAGTGGGTTTGGTTTTTGGTTTTAAGATACTACTAGTATCCCTGTGTTAGAAGTGAATAAACAGAGGCTTGGAATGGTTAAGTAATGTGCTCTTTGCCTATGGCTGGTGAACAGTGAAGTTGAGATTTGAACCCAGGAGAGCTAGTAATAAGCCTAAAGTTTTCTAAACACTGTATATGCACCCCCCCACCCCCACCCCATTGAAATGCCTATGTTTGTGGTTGGGATCTTGTAACTAGCCACATTTTTCTACAAAAATTGAGTCTTTGGGGAGAAATGATAATTTCCTTAACGGCTCATTGATTCTTTGCTTCAGGGTTTTCTTTCCTCCTCTTGTAACTGGGAGGAACTGTAATTGATTTTTTTCCCTAGCATTTCAAGGTAGTAACATGGGGATTTGTAGCCCAGTAGCCAGCACCACCCAAGGACAGTTACCTGCCGAAGCCCAGCAGGACTGGTGGCCTTGGCAAGGGAAAGGGAGAGGGAGAACGGCTTCAGGACGACTTGCATATGACCCAGAGTGTAGTGTCTGTTGGTGGTGTCCAGGAACATGAACCCCAGGAGTATGCAGAGCTCTGGATCCTGGACAGCAATCTTTCTCCACCTGTGTCTTCAGAACGTGCCCAGCCAACCAATGGCGACTATGTTCCAGCAGTAAGTCCCTGAGGAGAAGGCCCAGCCATGTCAGCAGCTGCTGTGGTACCATCTGGGGTGTGCGTTGAAATGCATAGTCTGGATCCACTAGAGCAAAGCCTGAGCCTGTGACCAAGAGAACTTTTCCATGTTCTGTAAGTGATGTTTATACCTCCCACAATTTGAGATCCACTAATTATTCTCCCTGATTTTACAGGAAACTGCCTAACCATGAAAATGTCTTAATATCACTAAACTACTTCATGGTGAAATCAGGACTTGAACTGGAGTCTCCTGAATCCTATTGAAGTATTCGTTCTACCATACATGGTCCAGTTTATGAAAGGATCCAGAAAACAGGTGTAGAGATTGCTCTGTGCTTCCTGGTTGTCAGTTTTGCCAGTTTCTCCCATTTTTGGTTCGTTGGATTAGTGTCTGTGCTATGGGTGTACACAAAGTCTGTGTCTTGTTAAATAAGATGTGTAGACACGGAGTCTGAGGGCCCTGGGTTTAAGACCCCGCGCAGTCTGCGGGTGGGGGCAGCTGTTGGTTTTGAAAGAGGAAACATGAGAATAGAGCTAGCTGACCTAGCTGGAGCCTTTCCCACTCTTCCTAAAATCACTTTCAAAGATGAATTGCTGGATGTACTTTGGTGTTCTGTAAAGAATGGAGTGAAAAATAGAATTCTGCCCATTTAACTGCAGGTCACCAATGTTCCTTTGTAGTGTTAAATACACACATCATCTGTAGTTATTTCCCATTGTTAGTCTTTGTAGCTGCACCTTGTCTATCATTTTCTGAAGTTGCTGGTATCTCAAATCACTTATTGGCTCAGATGTTCCTCAGATTTGGTAGATTGACAGGTAAGAATCATGATTAGCATCCCTGTTTTGGCCTTAACGAGGTGTACCTACTATGGCCTCAGCACGTGAATAGAATAGAGTGGGTGGGAGTGCGTCAGGCTCTGGAGCCATAGCGACCTGGAATAACCACAGCTGTGGGGACCTGGGGGAAAGTCTCAAGGCTCCATTTCGAGCAGGGCTTTGAACTGGTTTGTTCCAGTTTGAACTCCTGCCGAGAATGTGCATTTCCAACAAGTTCTCAGGAAGTTATACATGAGAATCTTGTGGTGATCTTGTTAAAATGTAGATTCTGATTCAGTATATCTGGTGTAGAAATGCAAATGCTCAGCAGGGAACTTGTTAGAAAAGCAGATTCTCAGCAGGGTTTCAAACCAGAACAAACCTGTTTGAAGCCCTGATTTTGTCAGCTGTCACTGGAGCTAAGGACCCCCCTACTCTGTACAGTTGTGAGAGATTGAAGCCCAGTGCCTGATACATAGTTGATTATTCCTAAAATACTAGTGATGTTATTAATCTTGTGAAATTTTCAAAAACAAATTCATATCTCTTCATTTATAACATTAAATCTTTTCTGTCCTTGCAAACTCTTCCTCCCCTTGGGGATGGGTGTGCTGGGAAGAGTTGTGTTGTCAAAACTAAGGTTTCAACATACCAAAATAGCTGTATTTCTGGCCGATAACACAGAACGCTGGTAGTCCTCCTAAGATGTTTGATTGCAGAGACGTTCAGGAAGTAGTTACTGAGAACTTACTTTTTGCAAAGCATGGCGTAGAGGTGTTAAATGCACATGGGTGATCTGGCTCATTTTATTCTGCTTGTCAGCTTGTCCTGGTTGAGTGTCAGTTGGTGAAATATTGCTCTTCATTTGACTTGTGAAAATGGAAAATTTCAAGACACGATAACCTTAGTGGCCAAATGAAAACCTTAGCTTCAAGAATCCATCAATTTGGGAGTAGCTGTTTTCCTCTTTCTGCCTGCTGTTGACCTATCGTGATCCAAAGACTAAGGGGAATGGAAGATAATGATGTCGATTCTGTGAATTAGGAAACTTCGTTTTGGGGAATTTAGGGTTTATTTTTTCTAAGTTAAAAAGTTATTCCTTATAAACTAAAGTTATAAGTCATCTGGGACGAGATGACAGTGTGCTGGGTCTTGAGGCTCAGGAGGTACGAGGAATCCTGAGCTTTGACAGTGAGACGTGGGTGCTCAGTGTGATCCTGTTACAAATGTTCCCAGCAGTGTTTATCTCTGCATCTCCTTCGCTCCTTCTGCATTTTAGCAATCTGCTTCGGGAAAAAAAATCTGCTATTTTAAAGTGATGTTTCACAAAAGACCCATAGAGTAACACTTAATACATTTCTCTTTAACTTTGTATGGAAGCCAAGATAATATGTATTTTAGTATAAACTCAGAGGACAAAATTATTTCATGCATTTCTCCTTTTTCAGAAGTGTCTTTAACTTTCAGTAGTGTCTGACTTCAGTGGTTTTACTTCTGCCAGTGGTTGTCCTTTTGGAATGTCTACGTCCCACCTGGATTCATCTGGGCCAGTGAGACTACATTCTGAGAGCAGGTTGGTTGTAATTCTGTATAAATTCTGAACACATGATATCTTCAGATACTTTATTAGAACATTTTCCATTTGGCTTACCATGAAATTATAAAATCTCTTTGGTTTACCAGAGATTATAAAATGGAAAACTACTATTTTTCAATTATTTTCTGATGATATTCGTGAAGATTGAATTGCAAAGAATCGGTTTATGGATATGATACCTGGTTTATCAGTTAACATGTTTGGCTGCTAACTGAAAGGTTGGAGGTTTGAGTCCACCCAGAGGCATCTCGGAAGAAAGGCCTGGCAATCTACTTCTAAAATATCAGTCATTGAAAATTCTATGGAATGCAGTTGTACTCTGACGCACAGTGTCACC